GGTAGCCTGCAAAAGTAGGTAGTCTGAATCCCTCATCACTCTTGTGGTCTTGGATGCTGTAATACTGTTAAGACTGCAATGATATTACAGTAAGCACTGCATGTGTGAAATAAATGTAATACAAAGAATAGTCTGAATGTGGGGAGGAAGAAGATCCAAGAGCGTGTATGTGTGTTGTTCTGTAAGAAATATTTAGGATCCCCCTTGGTTTAATTGACTAATGGTTAAATCATGATGGTAAATCTTATGTTCCTAAATGAAATGCAAATTAAAAGTGCATGTGCTGGAAATGTTGACTGTTGACAGAGTTGCAGTATCCAGAGTTTGGTTTTTTCCATACCTTAGTATTTTCCTGCTTTATCTTCTGTCTGTCTAGTTTTACTTGTTATAGCCTTTTTAGGAAACAATATTCCAAATAATGATAGATAAATTTTGCTTTCATAATAATGAAGGCCAAAAATCTTTCTTCAATTAATAACCTTTTGCAGTGTTTTCCTTTAAAATTCTTTGACAGTCTTTTCCCTCACTCAAATTAGATGAGAAATGGCCAATTTGTGAAGTGACTGCTGAGGGAAGGAATTTCCCACACTCCAGCCCCATTTCACTTTCATTTAACACACAAAAAACCCACACACACACCAAAAAACAACCCACACAATAACCTCCTTCCTAGTTCCTTTCCATCTAATAACTTGAAAACAATGTGCAAATACAAATGAATTGTATGAAATGGGTAAATGTAAGTTAAAGAAGACAAAACTGAGAGGGAGGGTAGGCAGATAGCTGATTGCCATTAAAAAGATTCAAGCCTTTACCCGCACCACCAGGTTTCCTCACCATTCTTAAAGTCAATATTTTCAGTGTTTGTTGCCTGTATTTACATAACCAAACCAATACTCATGCTGCGTTGCAGAGTCCTGATGGCTTTTGTTGTCCACTGATGTCTTGTTCTTTCTCTCCCCAACTGGTTATTTTAATCCTGAAGGTAAATTATAAACACGTATTTCCTCCAGGATAATCATGTACCCAAAGTCCAGCCAGCTCTAAAGCCTGAACAGCCTGTGGGCTGATTTACAACCTGGTCGGACCCCTTGATGGATTACAGCTCCTCCTTACAGTTTTGTAGGCTTTCCTTCTCTTCAAAAAGAAACATCCACAGGAACATCAAAAGAGGAAGCTATGAATTAGATCAGTCATCCTGGTTCTTTTCCTTTTTGTATTTTTCTGATTTTTGTCTTTTTGACTTTAACATGGCCTATCTCCAGCTATCAATATCAACATTCGGCTGTCTCCATAGTTTTGTGGTTTAGAAATGACAAAATTCATAGAATTTTCCCCTTCCATTCCTTTTTTCTATTCACTACTGTCATAGACCTTCTTGAGAGCCATCACTGTTTTGCTTATAGTTCTAGAATCAAATACAGAATTTCATACCTCCAAAGTGAGATCCTCCCCTCAGTCTTACTGTCTTCTGTGCTTTCACTTGAAGAGGTGTCCAGACATACATAAAGGACCAAATAGGCTGTACCAAACATGTACTATGTACTTTGAATGTTTTTATGCTTTACTTGCTAGTTTATTTTGGTTTGTTTGTTTACTGTGACTTTTCCTTCCTCCTAGCTGTTTGATTTTAGCCAGAAGCAGAAATATGTAGCACTTACAAAAAAAATCAGGAAATATTTCAGCTTTTGCCAAGGATTCTAAAAAACCTCAGCAAATAGCCACACTTCTTTGTTCTGAAACCTAAAAAAAAAAATAAAAAAAAAAAAAATTAGTGGCTTCTACTACTGAAAATAGATCTTTTCTAAAATACATGGCATCCCATGGTGGGGAGAGGGGGGTACAAGTGTTTTAAAATAGGTTATTTCCCTGGGAAGAAGCAGCAAGCAGTTTGTATCACAGGAAAAAAAAATCTCTCTCAAAAAAAGCTAGAAGCTATTTCTGAGTTTGTGTTTTGAAGAGAAGCTAAGATGTATTTTACCTTAGGGGACCTTGTGGTGTCCTGTGGTAGATGGTATCTGCCATTTTTGCAGTTACGCTACTTTTAGACGGAACACTATTCACTCTTAGTGATTATGGTCCTTTTTTCTGACGTATCTGATTGTGGTAATGTTGCATGGCCAAAGCCAAGGACCTATTCAAGCCAAACAACTCTGTAAGAAAGAAGTTGTGTGGTGACTTGTGGCTGACCCTCTTTGCTGGAGCTCTTCAGGCCATTTCCCATCACTAACCATTGTGGGGCTGATGTGCCACACCCCGAGATGGGC